ACGCGGCCACCTCGTTGTGGAAGGTGTCGAAGAGGAGGCTCAGGGCCTGCCTGGGGACAGAGAGCGGCGCTGAGCCCCAGCGCGGAGCGGGGACGCAGCGGGGACGCCGGGGCCCCCCTCACCTGCTGATGGTCTGCTTGATGGGCCTCTCCTGCAGGTGGATGTAGTGGTTGAGCGTGGACGGGCTCTGGTCGTCGTTGGCCTGTGAGAGGACAGCGCAGAGGGATGCAGAGTGCAGAGGGATGCAGAGCACAGGGATGCAGAGCGCAGAGGGATGCAGAGCGCAGCGGGATGCAGAGTGCAGAGGGATGCAGAGCGCACTGGGTTGCAGAGCACAGAGTTAAGTGCAGAGGGATGCGGAGGGCAGAGGAAGGTGCAGTGGGATGCAGAGTGCAGAAGGATGCAGAGCGCAGCGGGGTGCAAGCACAGAGGGATGCAGAGTGCAGCAGGACACAGAGTGCACTGGGATGCAGGGCGCGCTGGGATGCAGAGCACACTGGGATACAGAGCACACTGGGATGCAGAGCGCGCTGGGATACAGAGCACACTGGGATGCAGAGCGCGCTGGGATACAGAGCACACTGGGATGCAGAGCACACTGGGATACAGAGCACAATGGGATACAGAGCACACTGGGATGCAGAGCACACTGGGATACAGAGCACACTGGGATACAGAGCACACTGGGATGCAGAGCACACTGGGATGCAGAGCACACTGGGATGCAGAGTGCACTGGGATACAGAGCACGCTGGGATGCAGAGCACACTGGGATGCAGAGAGCACTGGGATACAGAGCACACTGGGATGCAGAGCGCACTGGGATGCAGGGCGCGCTGGGGTGCAGAGCACCAGCCAGGACGCTCGCTCCATCGGAGCATCCCGGGAGCGCGCGAGGACCAGGCCGGCTGCCCGGCGGCGGCCGCACTCCCCGTCCGCGCCAGGTCGCTGCGCACGGCCGTCCTCCTGAGCAGCTGCAGGCGGATGTCCATGTCGAATTTCCGGCAGTGCTGGATGTACTCGTGGCTGCCCAGCGGGTGTTCGCTGCGGGACACGCAGCGCTCGCACCCGGAGCCCCACGGTCCCCTCGCCCACCGCGCTGGCGCCACGAGGTCGCCCGTGCTCAGAGAGCACAAGAATAAGCTATTGTTTCCCTCCTCCCATTGCACCCTTGGAAAAGCAGCCTGGGAAAAGCTGGGATGGGGGAGCTGGGAAATGTCCCAGCTGGAAAAACCCTCTGTTTCCTAAAGGACAGACGTGGCCCTGCCCGGTTCTGCTCAGCCGGGACAATGCGGGACGGCGCTGCAGGAAGCCTGGCCCTTTTCGCCGCAGTGGGAAAGACTCTGGGATGCAAACTGCCTCCTCCTGCCTTTCCATGCTCTGCACTGGGGCTCATCCCGCTCCATCCCGCTTTTTGCAAGGCTGCGGGAGGCTCGGGCTGCCTTCGGAGTGTGGCAGCTCCACACGGCTCTTCTGGAAGGCGTGAAAAGGAAAAGGTCGGGAACAAAAGGGCTTTATTCCCTGGGGCTTTCTCAAAGGTCCTTGGAGAGCCCCCAAGAGATAGAGCAGCCCTTCCCGCGCAGCTCCCGGGGAACGCGCCGGGCACGGGATGCTCCGTTCCCTGCCAGCACGCGGGACAGCACACGGAGTGGCGGAAGGCGCTGCCAGGCTCTTTGCACAACCCTTGGGCACAGCAAGAGCAAAGCTCTTGGCAGTGCCTGGACCCGCTGCACGGCCGGGACGAGGCCCTTGTGACCCATTTTCCAAAGGGAGAAGTCGGGCAGAGAGGAGGGAATTCGCTGCGGGCAGCGGCGAGGGTGCCTGGATGAGCCCATCTCCCCTTCCCACGCGCATTGCTCAGCACAGGGCCGGGCTCTGCCCCGCTCCTGCAAATGCCACTTTTCCAACAGCGGCTGCTTCTAGTTAAGGCTCATTAGAGAAAACAGAGAGGATCTTTCTGCTGACAACAGCCGCATTCAGAGCAAAGCCCTGCAGCTGGAGCGCAGCGGGGACGGAGCGGGATACGCTGCTCCCTTGGAAGCATCGCTCCGGCTGTCCCTTCCGAGAGCGCTTGTTTGCTCCCTGGTTGCTCAGTGACTAGCAGTGACACTGCGCAAGGTGCAGTGACATTGTGCAATGTGCAGTGATACCGTGCAACATGCAGTGACACTGTCCAACATGCAGGGACACCATGCAGTGACACTGCACAGCGTGCAACGGCACCATGCAACATGCAGTGGCACCGTGCAGTTGTGCAATGGCACCGTGCAGGATGCAGTGGCACCGTGCAGCATGCATTGATGTGGCACAGCATGCAATGGCACCATGCAATGTACAGTGACACCGCACAATGTGCAATGGCACCGTGCAATGTGCAGTGACACTGTGCAATGTGCAGTGACACTGTGCAATGTGCAGTGACACCGTGCAACGTGCAGTGGCACCGTGCAGTTGTGCAATGGCACCGTGCAGGATGCAGTGGCACCGTGCCACCTCCATGCACACACATCTCAGCACAGATGAGGAGATCCCCAGACCAGGGTTTGGGCTCTGCTGAGCTCCTCTCCCCATCACCGAGGCCACGCGGTGCCGTCACGGATGCGCTCCCATCTCGAGCTATTCCCAGCCGCCCCTTTAGGGCCTAACAGCGCTCGGAGGCGGTGGCAGAGCTCCCGGGATCTCAGGCTGCTCCGCCAGGCCCTGCGGCAGCTCTCCAAGAGCCGGAGCCGGAGCTGGCTCTGCACTGGGCCGCCTGCACGCGCTGCACATGCCCGTGCGTGCGTGTCCTGCAGAGAGACCTCACTGCAGGGAGCGTTTTGGGGGAACCGGGCACGGAAACCCTGCAGAAATGCAGTTTTCCTCGAGCTAAAGGCAGCGTGGAGCTGGGAGCAGCGAGCCGGGATGGCAGAGCGGGATCCCTCCGGGAAGAGCTCCCGCGCGCCCCGGCCCTGCGGCTCAGCCACAGGAAATAGCCCCGAGGCTTAGAAAGCTCTTATGGCTTTCCGGCCTGGAAAACTGCAATCAATCTGGGAGAACCATTCCCTGGATGGGCCTCCCGGGCGCCAAACAGGCCACGAGCCCTGGCCTGCAAAGCTCCATCCACGGGCCACAGGCTGCTCCTCTGCAGCCAAAGATGAGACAAGAAAAAAGCGCTTCAATTTGGGTTGCATTTCGCAGAGGAAGGGAGAAGTTCCCCTTTCTTTCTTTCTTTCCCCTTTGCAGCAAAGCACATTTCTGAGGCGGGTTTGGGGATGTCCTGCAGTCCCTTTGCTCTCCCACTGCCTCTCCCCTGGAAACAACCTTTCCAAACCTCCTCCTGCACCTTCAAATCAGGCCCGGAGGAGCCAAGCTCCCCCCGGACAGCTGGGCCCGGCCACGCGACGTGACAGCGCCGTTATTGATGCTCTCCCAAAGAGCTTTTTTGGCAGCTCCCGGGTTTTCAGGCCTTTTCCTGGAGCGGCGCCTCCGGCACGCGGGGATCAGCTGCTGCTCTGCATCCCTGCCGAGCAGGACGCTGCTCCGGGCAGGAGCATCGCACCGGTCCAGGAGGTGGGATACGGAGTGACATCCTCAGGCCACCCCCTGGGATACGGAGTGACATCCTCAGGCCACCCTCCCCGACCCCGCTTTTCCCACTCACTTCTGCAGAAACTCCTCCAGGCCGCAGAGCTTGAGCACGAAGTCGGCCACGTCGACGGCGCGCAGCTCGTCGTGCGTGTAGCACAGCGTCTGGTAGATGAGCAGGTCCACGGTGGACGAGCCTGGGGACAGGGGGACACTGCTCCCTGCAGCCACCGGGCTCGCTGGACACCCCCCCAGCAGCTCCACATGGAGGTTCCTCCCGGTTTATTCCACCCAGTTTATTCCACCCAGTTTATCCCTCCCGCTTTATCCCGGCCGGCGCCGTCCCGCGCTGCCCGGCGCTCCGTGCGCGGGACACTTACAGTCGCAGGTGAAGGTGAGCGGCTCCCGCAGGCTGTCACACACCACGGTCACCTTGAGGCTCACGCCGTGGCCCAGGTGCTCGGGGCTGAGGTTCACCGTGCTCCACACGTAGCCCGTGAGGGAATAGTCCTGGGTGCTGTAGCCCGAGCGCAGCCTGGGCGCATGGGAGACATGTCTGGGGCTCGCGGGTGGCCCCTTGCTCCACACCCCGTTTCCCACTCATTTTGCTCCCCGTGGATGCTGCGTTCCCATCCCATGGCAGCTCTGCTGCAATTGCAAGTTGCTGGTGCCCACCGGATGATGGAGAACCCAAGAAGAACCCAAGGAGAGCCCCAGGAGAGCCCCAGGAGGACCCTAAGGAGAACCCAAGAAGAACCCCAAGGAGAGCCCCAGGAGAACCCCAAGCAGAACCCCAAGGAGAACCCATGGAGAACCCATGGAGAACCCAAGGAGAGCCCCAAGGAGAACCCCAAGGAGAACCCTAGGAGAGCCCCAGGAGAACCCCAAGGAGAACCCCAAGGAGCACCCCAGAACCCCGAGGAGAACGCATGGAGAACCCTAAGGAGAGCCCCAAGGAGAACCCAAGAAGAACCCCAAGAAGAACCCCAAGGAGAACCCCGAGGAGAACGCATGGAGAACCCAAGGAGAACCCTAAGGAGAGCCCCAGGAGAGGATCTCTCCTTCACCCAGGGCTAACCCAGTCCTGCCAGGGGGTGCCCAGCACCCCAAATATGTTTTGCGGAGAGACCCAGCCGGTCCCGCGGGCATCGCCCTGGCACTTACACGTCCAGCATGTGGCAGAAAGCGGCCACCTCCTCGTCGCGCTCCTCGGAGACCTCAAAGAGCTCGTAGCCGTTGCCTAAGGAGTGCGGCCGGGGCGGGAGCTGCGGGAGAGACACGGGATGGGACCGGGGGCGTCCTGCCCCGGACACCCCGCACCGCGGGACGGGACCGGCTTGGGAAGAGGACGCGGCTCTCACGGGCTCCACGGAGACGCGGCGGTTCTTGCCGGGCGCCAGGTTCTTGCGGTTGCAGCGGGGGCCGTAGGTGCGGGGCGGCACCTGGGGCGGCAGCGTCTTGCTGCGGGCCACGGGCTTCCCGGCGCCCTCCTTCTCCAGGATGCTCCGGGCCTCCTTCCAGCCGCGCGCGGCCTCGCGCAGCACCTCGGCCTCGTACGTGCCCTTGAGGTTGAGGCAGGTGATGGCGTCGGCGATGCCCTCGTAGCCGCCGCTTCCGTAGGGCTCCTCCTCGGGGG